TATATATATATATACGGTACTGTATCTTCGTCATACTGATCTTTTATTCCCTGTTTTGTTTCTGTTTATTTTTTTTACTGCATCATGTCATAAATTATTGAACATTTATCCTTGCTCCACGATTCAGTGATGAACTCGGTCATGCTTCTCAATACCTTCTGATTATTAACGTACAATAACATATTACAGCCTGCCAGAAAAGGAGCTCGTCGTCGCTGAAAAGACGTAAAAATTAAACGGCTTGTCTTTTACGACAAGACATCAAAAAAAGAAAAAAATCAAAGGCAGGAGTGATTGGAAAATTGATACAGCTGTCGCTTTACATTGTTTGCTCGAGAACCAAATAGGGCAGAAAAACACATGCACTGATAATTTAGCTGTCAGATGTGATTGGTTCTTTTGTCAATGACAAAAAAAAGGAAAAAGGAAAACCAGTCCCGTACACTCAATAAGAACGTGACTGACAGGTGAATAAAAAGGAGGAGGAGGACAGACAGGCAGACTGGTGACGAAACTTACTTACGTAAAACRGCTGACAAAAGTTTCATTCTAATGCTGTCTCGACCAGTGATTGATGATTACACACTGAAGCATAAAAGCATTAAAATGCTCCTGCAGCTCCATTTTCAGAACATGACACACACACACCCTGCAGTATTCAAAGGCACAAACTCAGAAAAAAAGTTTTTCCCTGTAGCAGCACAGAGAAGCCAATAAATATTGAATCRAGTAAACACACTTTGGTGAGGGAAGGTCAAATATCCCACACCCATAAGCATAGGCAAACACTTAGAGGTTACACACCACGCACAGCATCATTGATTTTCTGTTAAGAGCCACAAGAAACAATCAGCACACAATTTAGTATTAGACAAACGCTTATTTGAACAGAGACAGCAGTTAAACACTTTTTCAAAGATCTTAGCAGCAGTGCAGGCTATCCAAACAGGGCTTAGTTTGATTTAGCTTAGAAATGTATTATTCATTATTTTCATTTTACTTTGCAAATAGTTTTTCAACCTGGGGAGGACGAGAATACTGCCTAATGCACTTATAGTTTAATTAAAGGCTTGYGATTTTAATAACCGTAGGCATGGRATGGTTTCCAATTTATATACCACCATACTTAAATTTGACAAAACCATATCCATCRTACATTTTCTGTGGTTTAAATTCCTTTAAATGTCTTGACAGACAGTGCGAGGTTTATATTCTACTCATAAAGCACAGAGCAGAACTCCCAGCCCCTCCCTTCGTTGCTGTGAGCTGTCAGTCAGCTGTGTACAACCAACAACTGAAAGAGGGATATATCTCCCGTTTATTCTCCCCTACCTTTAAAAAAGACAAAGTATCTGAAAGCATTTGCAGTACAAACAGAATGAGACACAAATATCACGGGCTGTCTACCAGAGGAGCACCTTCCGCCACTCTTCAGGGTCCAAATCTTATTCGTGGATAAGGCCAAACGTCCAGAAAACTTGTGAAAAATAAATATTTTTCTTTAATTTGTGTACAACGCCAAATCTAAAACAATACTTTTGTTTGCCTACAATTTTTGGTTGTGAACCTAAGAATCTCTAACTTTTGAAAATAAAAAAATCCTAAATAAATAAACTGAAATAATTTCATTAATATTTTATCATTTGAAAATCTCATTGCTGTCCTTGCCTAACATACAGAAATATTTATTTTCAGCCTTGTAAATAACAAAATAGCAGCAAAAAACGGACATGTCTTTTACAGTCACTCAGGTATTTGTGATTAAAGAATTAAAAAGGAGCTGTGGGCCGTCTTTTGAGCATTGAGCTTCACAAAAAGATGAGCTATTACCAACAGGACGCTCATTTTTTTATGAAAGTGCAGAAACATTTTCAGCTGATCAGAGTGCAGCTCCTGATTGTGAGGACGAGCGCGTTTGGAAATGAGGGTTTAAGGTGAAGCGCTGCCCTTTCTTTTAGAAATGAATTGAATAATCTGATTAAGAGGGGTCCAGCTCATGCTCACCATTATGTTGTTGTGAATGAAGCCCTTGCGGTAGCGGGCAGGTTTGAGGTGGGGGTACTCTTCAGTGCTGGTCACCCGAATGGTCCACACGCGCCTCCACGCCTCGTAGAGCTGCAGGTGCACCGGGTAGACCCCTGAGTGGTGGGGGGCCACAGCGTAGCCCATGTCCACTGGGATGCTGTGCTCCTGGAGGAAACAGACAGATGCGTACGCCAAGGTTATATAAATAAATACAAAAATGATGGCACATTTACAGCTCGGAGACAAAGGACTTTGAGGCACATAAACACACAGAACCAAACACTTTGACCTTGTGGGAGAAGCACCTGGGGTTTTGTTGTGTTTGTTATGGTCTTGGCCTTCGGGTTGGAAATTAGAAAAAATATGGTTTGTGAGAGCGTGTGTGTCTGTGTGTGTATGTGTGTGAGCTTGCGGGTGGTTGGTTGCTGGGAGCGTGTAGAAGACTGATGGTGTTGTCCTTTGCTCTGACACACACCTACACACACTGTCAAAGCTAAGTATCAGCGGTCAGGGAATGAGAGAGTGAAGTGTGAGTACGAGTGTGTCTGCGTGTCTGTGTTTATTTGTGTGTGTGTGTGTGTGTGTGTGTGTGTGTGTGTGTGTGTGTGTGTGTGTGTGTGTGTGTGTGTATACAACTGACCACAGTTGAAATGTAGGCTCACCTTCAATGGCATGAATACGCCCTCTTTGCTGTCTTGTATGGGTGACACTACAGCCTAATGTGGTCATAGTAATCATCTTCACTCATAAATATAGCAACAAAGCATTGTGGGTAAAAGAAAACCAAAACAGAGATGAAAAACAACCTTATGGACCACAAGGTGAGCTGAAGTGTGCCAGTCTAAATAAACGCAAAACTTCAAAGTTGAATTCTACATCGTGTTGGCCTCTTTGATGTAATCTGCACTTCTGCAACCAAACGTTCTCATAAAACTGGTATTTGCACGTTATGCATCAAAGTTTCTTTGATTGGCTGCAAGGCATCCATTAATCCTGGAAAAAAAGAACCACTAGTAGCAGTTTGCTTTGGAAAGTGTTCACCAATTTAAATTGTAAAACAAGTGCAAGCACTACAAGACAATACACTTTCACTACACGTTTGGTTCAGCCTAAAATACAGCGCTGCGGATCGCTAGTTCATAACATTAAATGGGGGCTCAAATGGGATTTGAGTTGGTTAACAATTAGATAAATCCACCCATTTTGTTTGCAAAAAGGGGTAAAATCAATAAATTTTGCTTGGGACGCTTTTGTTAAATTCCCAAAGCGCTACTAAGAAAACTCAGTTGAGGCTTGTGAAAAAGTACAAATTTTGATTGAAAGCTGCATTAAGGGGTAGATTAACAGCTTTTCCTTTCTTGCACGCAACCATGAAAATACTTTTTGAGGAGTTCATAATCAAGAGTTAATAGAATTTCCTGCTCATCTAAGGGTTGTGACCTTGTTCATTAATTCTTAATAATCAACACCTCGTTGGGTATCATTCCTTACCTAACAAGAACAAACCATTCTTATACAGTGCATGGGTGCAATCATAACTTTGATGTACTCTAACCATCAAATTGGCTTGTATAAATCGAACATTCAGCAGGTGGAAACACTCAATTTTATTTGTTAGTTTATGTTGTGTTTTATTGTCAAACTAACAAGGTTAGGGAGTTTCAATAAACATAAAAGTCATTTTAATACTATGTTGTATGGTAGAAGCTATATTCCATTACAAAAGGTGTTTTTTTTTTGTTGTTGTTTTCTAGCCTAAATTGGCTGTCTGTTCAAACAGATCCAGTGCTGTAGCCTGAGAACATCATGAGCATAATCTGCTGCAACAAAAGAAATAAGCACCTGCAGCACCAGAAGTCCTTGAAGAAAACCCAATCATGGGGAAAGGAGTACGAATAAGAAGACACACGAGAGAGACAACAGCAACAAAGCCGACAGCTGCAAGAAATACGTGTACGTGCTCGAGCATCCATCTCACCAGAGCAAACTCCTTGTTGAGGACCATCTGCTCCAGCAGTGACGACTCGTTGTGGAAGAGGTGAGGCTGCATGTGGCTCCACATGTGGGGGAACCACCAGAACTCATCTACATACTTCAGTAGTAGATCATCTCCTTCATCCTCCTCTGCCGTGCCTGAATATACGTAAAAAGAAAGAAAAAAAAAGACAAATTTGCAAGGACAGAAAGGACAGAGAATGAAACATACATAAAAACAAAGAATATAATATAAAAAGAAATGTTGCAGTTGCAAGTCAACGTGAATTCTTGCTGATGCAAGGTAGGAAAACCATCAAAAAGCATTTTCTTAAGGTTACGCTGCTATAAATAGGCAATTTGAAGCCAAAACAAAAACAAGGTTTTCCATTGAAATAACAGATGCTCCATTAATTAAATATTCTGTGTCAGATAAAAGAAGGTAAATAACTAACTTTCACCAGTTTTTTTTCTGTTACTTCAGCTGCATGATTTAAAACACTGTAAAGATTAGACATTTAAAAATAAGTAAAAACATACTAGAATATAGTTTTAATCTTCTCAAATTAAGTGAAATAATCTGCAAGTGCAGTAAGAAAAATGTACTTGGTAAGACTTAAAAACAGGAAAAATTTCCAGAATAGCAAGATAAATAGAACACATTCTCCTCTTGCATAGTATGGTTGGGCAAAATCGTATCGTGTGTAATAAATCATCAGAAAAACTTTTGACAGTTATTATTTGGCACTTTTGCAATTAATACAATTAATTCTGTCAAAGTTCTTCTTCTCTTTCCTCTTATAATCCAAATAATGGATCGCCTAATTCCTCGTTGTAGTCCTTTGTCTTGATTATTTTTTCCCCCCGCCATCTCTGCCTTTGAGCTCTCCTCCTCTCTCTGAAAAAGTTCTGACTTCGGTTCGGTTCATCTGTCGACAGCTCCACTGAAGCTCCACCTCAATCAGCTGCAGTTCCACATTCAAAAATCACCTCATCATCTTCACTCAGTCACTAAAACTCACTGAACTACACCCTGACTATAAAATCTAAACACATTCAATATCATTAATCTGTCAAATCTAATTGTTCAGTCCTGAACTTGCCAGCTCTCCATCAACAGCAAGTTTTGTGTCTTTTTTATTTTTATTTTTATTTATTTTTTATTCCTGTAGGTTTTTTTAGGCACTTATCAAATAATTTCAGGCATCAGTCAGAAAGGAGTTTGGGGTTTTTATGTCAGTTCGACAGGATGGGGATGAAACCAGAGGTGGACTGAGGTGTCTTTTCTATGAATCTGGCCGTCTTTTGCTTTCTGACTGCAAAGCGCTTCAAATATGACAAACAAATTACTTATTATAACTTCGGTTTAACTTAGTCTATCAAAAAAAAACTGGTGTTTAGCTTAAAGTCTGTACTTTTAACCCAAATTGGAACATATTCTTAAATAGAGTGTATTAATCATCACACAGTATTAATCGTTATTGGCTAAACGCCAACATTTATTGTGATTCTTTTTTTTTGCCAATAATGCCCAAACCTACTTCATATATCAGACTCAAAGCAAAATCAAAAATATTTTTGGGCTGGACATAAGACTGTAAGCCTTGAAGAGATGGAAAATTTTCGCAGTGTAATTAAAAAAAAGGTTTATCAAATCTGAACTTGGAGCAGTACAGGAGAGATTATACCACAATATGATCGTAATTCCAAAACAACTTGCACAGTACTATTTAATTATTTAACTAAGAGAAGGTTAACATTTAATTGTCGAAGAAATCATAACTTCTGAACATTTGTAAATACATCACTTGTATTTATGCTGATAACAAAATGCTAAATCCCAAAACTGTATTAGTCCTATATTTTACAGTAATTAGTCATCAATAAAATAAAAGCACCAAACTTTCATCGAAAACAGCAGCCTGAACAAGTGTTTTGTTTACTGCATTGATTTGACACCAATATATTTGGATCATAAACAAAAACAGAACCCACCTGTGTGGTAGAACTTTCCAGAAAATCCCAGATTGAAGGTGAAATTAGAGATGAAAGAACGCAGCTGTTTCTGGGTTTCAAGCAGAGCCTGTGTGCAGACGAACACATGGACAAAAGAATAGAATCAAACAAAAAAAAAATACAAATTATTACATTTAGACAGAAAGCCATCCGCTCACTTTGAACAGCACAAACAAAACGACACACCATTTTATCAAGTCCTTCTCTCCCCAGCCTGTACTTGCACAGATAAAACCATGTGCGATCTAGATCTTATGTCTCTCCGTTGTATATTTAGGTGAACTCTGGCTCCTTCGAGAGCGATCACGACGGCTGTGTGTTCTCATCAACGCTTACCCCTATGGCCTGGCTATGGCAGCTGCCACCAGCACGCTGCTGCAGCGTGCTTCTTTAGTTAGGTCTGTGATTCACTTCTCGACGCCCACAAACTCCCGTTCTGTCCTTAAAGCTACCTCCATCTCTGGTCTCAATCCTTGCATCAGGATTTTCCTCACTTATTTAATGACTTCATTAGTTTGCTGGCCTTTAAACAAAGACTCCGTAATGAGTGTTAACTAAAGAGAGTTGCACACAACGCGCGCACACACCGACAGTAATGCAAGTTAATGAAGGTCATTGCATTAGTAGCCTCTGGAGGGTGGACTAATAACCGCCCCACCCACCCGTGAACTGACACACGCACATGCACGCATACACACTTTTTATCATTTCCATCATCCATCACTAACATTGCCAGCTGAAACCGTGAACCTCTCCATCCTTTCCCCTTCTCACTCTTGTCCTCCCTCTCTTCTCTGAGAGCCTGCAGTCGCCTCCTTACTGCCACCCCCCCTCACACACACACACACACACACACACCCTTCCCTCCACTTCCCCCCATTTGTCTTCCACACCTCCCACCCTCCTCTGAACCTCCATCTCTTCCTCGCTTGCTCCATGAAAATGTCACATTCTCAGGAGACAGGGCTGTGCTAATTTGAAAGGAAGGCTGAAGCAGCATGGAAGAGGGACCCCCCCCTCCCCCCTCCACACACACACACCCACCCCCCCTCTCCCTCGATGGCTCTATATCCTTGCACGTATACTCTCACGCTCCGCAACTCTGTGTTTTCACCACAGCTGCACTTCTCGCTGCGTGTCGCCAGAAATGTTTTGTTTAGAAATAAAAGCCACACCTACCTTTCTTTTACTTATTTATTTCTTGTTTTATTATATAATTCAGTCAACTGGGCCTTTCTGTTGTGCTACAAGCCGCACCCAAACTACAAATCTTTGTCGTGCTGCTTTTAATCGATCCCCGGGAACCTTTCCTGATTTATGATACCTGAGCAGCTGGAGTCAGAGCCAAGAGCTGGTTCCGGGCGCTCACACTCTTTCCCCTCTCATCCACCAGCTCTCCTCCTGAGTGCATTTCCTCCCCAAACTAACAAATACACAGACGCAAGAACGGAGCGTCTTCATTAGCTTTAATTTAATGGCGCTGGAGATGGCTGCAACGGTGACAGATGTGCACAATCCCCTAATCTGATCCCTTGTCTCCCCCCCTATGACATCCTCTACATCTTCCAGACGTGCGTGCACGGAGCCAAATGTGAGGATACCCAGACTTAAGAATTAAATTAAGTTTGTAGCTGAGTGCTTTGCATTGTAACTTAATATACACTCCCCGATGCACTCGGTCAAAATGCATTATTAACGTGTCTGTTGGCATATATGAGAATGAGTGTAGGTGTGTGCCCAAGCGTGCAATATATTAGTTTAAATATCTCATTTGTATTCTGCTGCCTAACATCCATAAGAAAAAAAAATACCAAAACCACATAGGAAGTATTTGTGGGACTTGAAGCAACAAACAGCGTGATCGGCTGCTTTTGCATGTTTTATTTATTTTTATTTTTTTTAACTGTGACAGTCTGGGTTAGGCCTGATTCTATAACTTGCAAGGCAATCACATTGTGCAGAACTGTGAGCAAAAAATAAATAAAAAAACTTCTAAAACTCCTTATTCTGCTGTGGTTTTAAATAGTTTTTACTTTAGGAGGTCCTGGAAATGAGAGCACACAAAGTTGCGATGAAGGAGTTATGAAAGGAGGCCACAATGAACCAAACCTGGATGATTCTGAAAAGAACACTGAGGACTTAGTGAATTTGTTTCATCAAAAAATAAAAATAAAAAGCAACTAACTTTCAAATCAGTCAGTTCAAAGAAGAAGCGTTGCCCTATCTGCAAGTGCAGCGCAGATTCTGAAACTTTCTCAGGCAACAAATTGCTCACAGATCAGCTCTCTCAACTACATTTCAGCTCTCATGTGGTTATCAAAGCATTTAACGCTACATTTCATAGGAATCTGTTCTCGCTGTCATACGGCTCGAGGGCATCAAGTGTGAGGTGTCAAACCACAAGTTTATCTGCCTCAAACAACCTCAAACAGCCACATAACCATAACCGCAGCTGGAGTAACACCTAAATGATAACAAATGATTGCAAAATTAGCCGTACAAAACAAAAAATAAATAAAAAAAGAAAGAAAAGAAAAGGATGTGCTGGGCTGTCAATCATGGTTTACTTCCTCCAGAAGCCTCACGTTTCAGGAGCTGAGTATTGGAGGGATTTTTTCCTTGATGCACTACAAGGACAGAGGAGCTCTTTTCTCTAGCAGACTGAGTCAATTACCCTGTCACAAAGAACACATCAGAACATCATTTCACTGTACAAACGCTCATCTCAGTGTAACAGGTGAACACTCCACTGCAATTCACATCTACACATCCTCGAAACATTAAAAAAAATCTCAATATGAAAACTCTTTCATTTATTACAGCTAAAATAAATCGTACATATGGAGCACTAAATCTCTTGAGTCGTCCTTCATTTCTTTATATTTTGCTTCTATGAATCAGACTCTCACAATTTTTCAAAGTGGTTTTGAACAATGTTTTTTTTTTATTTCAGATTGTCTGAATATCTGCAATGTTTTTCTTTGGACTTTACTTGTAACTCATTTTCAGTCCAGTACTTGATCATTTTCAAAGTAATGAYTGTTAAGCCACTTAACTTTGATGTATGACTCCTTTATTTAGCTTTAAAAAGGATTTTAAACTCAATGAATGAACCAGTTCAGTGTTGTTTAAATTGGATCTTTATGTACTTTGTAATCTGCAGCTTGTCACAAAGACATAATTTGATTTCATTTCTAAAGCTGAACTTAACTAAAATGCTAAAGATAACAGYTTAAAATGGGATTTTAGCACCAACCAGGTGACTCCCGATCATCTATTAGCTGAAATTCAAACTCCACAAAAGATGTGAAGTTATGTAAAACACACAGTAAATAAAGAAGAATGCAATGATTTGCTAATCWTATATGCCCACATTTGTTTCACAATATAACATAGCAAACAGCATAAATGTTAAAAATAAGAAATTGTATTTTTTTAGAAAAAAACAGATTTTATTCAAAAAATTAAGTGGTAAAAAATTAGAAACAGCTGAAGCATCATTTTGCAACTAATTAAGGCAATTAGCATAAGGTCAGTAATGACTGGGTATAGCAAATAGAAAGAGCATTTAAAGTCACTGAATCTCAGAGTTAAAGATGAGATGAGTGTGCAAAAAACACTACATGTAAAATAGTGGAACAATAAAAAAAAAAATTCCTCATTGGAAAATCAGAAAAAAAACATTGAAAGCTGAAACTTCATGTTGGATGCCTGTGATCTTTAGGCCCTCAGGCAGAACTGCATTAAGACAGGCCTGATTCTGTTACAGTCATTCATGCACAGGCTCAGGAACACTTTTGTGCCATCTTCAAATGCTAGCTAACAGCTTAATCATGTAAAGAAGCAGAYATATTTGAACATTATCTAGAAATGCCATGGTCTTCCCTAGAATCCTACATCACACAACAATTGAACATTCCTCTAAAAAAACAACTGCAACTGTTTCTTAGTCCTCTATTTGTCTACTTTCCCCTTTTGCTAATATACCACGAACAACTTCTCTATGTACGACACAAGGATTGGACAAAATTTGGCTGAAAAAGCAGCCAAAGTCCAAAGCAAAACATTTCACAGYCATTTGAAAACCAAAGCAACTATCCACAAAGACCATTTTTAAAGAATACAAGAAAATCGAAATCCTCAGAAGCAAAGGACATTATTTAACATGTGAGCAGAGGAACCTTCATGAGCGGAAACCTTCTCAACCCTATCGACTCTGAGGAACTTAGAAGCTCCCTCCTGGTGTTCGTTTGAGGGGAACAGCAGCCGGTTTCAGACGGGCAGCTTAAAGCAGCAGAACGCCAATCTCAATTTGTTGGGTAGCTTTCCAGGCTCAGAGCTGAGAATGGTTTTAAAAACGGGCCACAAGAGYTACTTCAAAAGTAAGAAGGGGAAAYGTGGATTCACGGGGAGGAAGACCTGAGAGATTTTGACTGTCGCAGCGACAAAGATAAAAACGCACACTGGGATTGGCAGTTAACCACAGCCCTTATTATGGCACCCATTCCCCTCAGCTTYTATATGCTGCTTGAGTCAGAGGCGAGGCCGTTTTTGTTCCTGCGTAGACGTGAGTGACAGCACATGTCTGTTTATGTGTACTTTCATGTACGTGTGTGGTAAGCAGTGGGAGACGTGCCAGATAGATGTTGGGGTTCAAACAGATGGGAGACAGGCATCCGGACAGCTGGCATTCACTGCTGTTCGAAAAAAGCAAAAGCAAAAACCTTTTTTTACGCCAAACCACCTCTGCACCATATCCCCATTCTGTCATTCTCTYAGCTGCACTGCTTCCTTTCAAAGCCTTAAGCTTGGCTAGGGGGATCTAAAATAATAAAGTAATTATAAGATAACTTTGTTGCAAGTGGGATTTCACGCACCAGCGGAYTTGAAAGCGAGAAGAGAGAAACACGGAAATTAGGCACATTTGCGGGGTTTAATTGCTGAGCAAAAAGCAAGTCAAAAGTTTTGATTCATCTACATGAGTGCGTCGTGTCTGAGTGCGTACATCAGCGTACGCGAAAGCTACGCCAGCAAGTTTAACTGGGTCAGGCATCTCTATTTGATGAG